GACAATTTCAAAATAAGGTCCAGAATGAACAATGCAGACATTCCTGGCTCTAAAATAACATTTTTTTTTTTCATCAGTCATGTCTCCAGGCCCTCTGATATTACTCTTGCTTTATTTTGAAATTTTATTCAAACAAAAAATTGAAGACTTACTATTAGCAGACTACTGAAATTTACTGAAATTTAATTGTATAAATTAACATCAACCCATTCATGACTGCATTTAGAATGGCTAGTTGGAATTTATTGGACAATGGCATCATTTGTTTACTTTTGAACATTGGCAAAAATTTAAAAAATTTCCCCTACTTTGAGCTCCATTTCTAGGTTCTTTTTATAGTAAAATCAATCAAAATCACTTTTATTTCTATAATATGTTTTCCATTCTATTAAATGAGACCAAGGAAACAAGAATACTAACCCTAAATAATATACGAAAATAGACCACAAGTCGGCATTTTAATTAAAAAAAAAGGTCGGAGTTTTTTTTTTCCCATTATGCACTGCGTGCTCCAGGATTTTTTTTATATGATGCACACTGACCACACAGACCCATTCTCTCACATGTGGGCCTACCAGCTTTCTCCTGCTTGATTTGAAGCCGCTAGAATTTATGAGTATATATACGTCAAACACGGTACCTGTAAGACGTATATATACGGAACGCGACAGTCAAAGGGTTAACAATTCCTCAAAATATTCCCTCCATCTTCCCAATACCTCTAACTCTCCATTTAATAATTCTCCTCTCCTATTTTTAACTGGCAAATCCATTTGTTCTCTAGGCTTCCTTAACTTGTTAATCTCACTTAAAAACTTTTTCTTATTTTCAACAAAATTGTTGATAACATCTCACCCACTCTCTCATTTGCTCTCTTTTACATTGCTTCACCACTCTTTAACCTCTCTCTTTTTCTCCATTTTACATTTCCCTCCTTGCATCACTTCTAAATTTGTAAAAAAATTTCATTGCTAACTTTTTTTCCTTTCTACTCTCTTTGCATCATCATTCCACCAATCGGCTCCTCTTCCCTCCCGCACCCACCTTCCTGTAACCACAAACTTCTGCTGAACACTCCAACACTATATTTTTAAACCTACCCCATACCTCTTCGACCCCATTGCCTATGCTCTCATTAGTCCATCTATCCTCCAATAGCTGTTTATATCTTACCCTAACTGCCTCCTCTTTTAGTTTATGAACATTCACCTCTCTCTTCCCTGATGCTTCTATTCTCCTTGTATCCCATCTACCTTTATTAGGATTAGTTTGCCTGAAATGCCTCGGCATGATAGTTGCTAACTTTGTGCTTAGCAAATCAAAATTGTTACAGGTCCGCCATCACAAATCCAGCAATCAGTTATTCGGTTCCTTCAGTTATTCGGCACTAATTTTGGCTAGCATAATTTCAAATTTCCAGGGTCGCCACACCAACCTGCTGGTACTGTTTGGTGGCGCTACTTGCTGCATAAATCATTCCAATTTCTTTTACTCCATTTAATGTTTTAACCTGCTTACTTTTAGCCCTAGCCATGGTTCCAATGAATAAAAGAAATGCTTCTCATTATGTAAAGCACCTACACAGTACATTATCCATTAAAGATAGGGTGGCTTTGAAGCCACTGTCGGTTGTCATGAGTTCAGTCTCATGAAGCAGGAGAATATGCTTTATTATTATGCTAATATCAACACTACTGCTTATTTGCCTATCACAATTGGTCTAATATGACATAAACAATATAAATAACATAAAACATGTTAAATACTCCAGAATGAATAATATTTGGCATAACACCAAGCAGTTCGACAGAGTTATGAAGAGGATATGGTAAACAAATACCATTCTCCTATCCTTGTCTTGGTGGCTTATATTAGAGAAAACAGAGTGTAGCACAGGGCTAACTATGATATACACTCATACTCCACCATAGACATGAAACAGAAAAGTTATTTTCTCTCTATAGATTATCACACATAGCAGCATATGTGTAGAGAACCTAGGATAACCCCAAAAAAGTCAACTTGGCTTATTTTTAGTACCTGGCTTGGATTAGCCATATATGATTTTTGGTAAATATTCGATTCCCAGCTAGGGTAGAAACATAGGCGTGTTTCTTTACACCTGTTGTTTATGTTTACCCATCAGTAAATGGGTACCTGGGTGTTAGCGAACTAGTGTGGGTGTTATCCTGAGACACTGACCTAATTTTCTTGAAATACTCAGCATAACGAGTGCCTTTCTATACAGTAGTATGTCACTCGTATTGTAGATAGTCTTAATGACCCTCGTGTAGTAGATAGTCTTTTTAGTATGATAATAAGATGTTATCTTCATTATAGAATAATACGAAAATATTATAACATTTATATTATAATAATAAGGTAAAAGGACCCCAATGGAAATAACTCACTCTGTCTGACTTTTTTGGGTTATCCTAGGTTCTCTACACACATGCTGTTATGTATGATAATTCTATGTAACTGTAATTGTGTATACCTGAATAAACGTACTGTACTTACTTACTGATGTCGGCTAGGCCTGTATACCTTGTACATTTACGTGTAGTAAATAAAATTGTTATTATTATTATTATTATTATTATTATTATTATTATTATTATTATTATTATTTTCTCAGTTGTTTGTTGGGTTATCTTATTCAAACTTGGGCAATGTATGATGGAAAGATACTTCTTCACCTACACCTAAAATGAAAGAAATCAGACCAAAAATAGCGGAGTTCACTTCTCAGCCATTAGCGGCCGCTTAGCAGTCTGTTTTTGTATGGTTGTTATGGTTATATTCTCATTTTTTCAGTCTCATTTGATAGAATGAAAGATATATTACAGAAATAGATATGATTTTGATTGCTTTCATGACGAAAAGTACCTTGAAATTGCGCTCACAGTAGCGAAAATGTTCTATTCTTTAGCAAAGCTCAAGAGTAAACAAATGACGTCACCGTCCAATACCTGTCCGCCTGCCAGTCTAAATTCCAGTATGGAGTCAAGAATGGATTGACATTATTACAATAATGCAGTAGTCTGCATAACAGTAAATCTTCTATTTTTTTTGTGTGAATAAAAATTCCAAATGGTAAGCAAGAGTAATATAAGAGGGGCCTGTAGCTGTGACTAATGAACAGAGAAAATGTTATTTTAGTGCCAGGAATGTCTGCATTGTTTATTCTGGATCCTATTTTGAAATTGGGATCTGTTGATATTTGTGTGAAATCGGCCAAATTGCCAATTTCTGACCACTTTATTGGGTAGTAGCCCCTGTGGCTTAGCTCTTCTTTTTGATTATAATAATAATAATAATAATAATTTATTGGGTAGTTGAAATAAGTGAATGGGCGGTTTCTTGTGCTCATTTGACAGACTAGAAGTAAATAAGTTTATTCACGTATACACAAATACAGTTACATAGATTATCATACATAGCAGCGTATGTATAGAGAACCTAGGATAACCCAGAAAAGTCAGACAAAGTGACCTATTTCCAGTACCTGGCTTGGGCTTGCCATATATGATTTTTGGTAAATATTTTTTTTCTCGGTTGTTTGTTGGGCTATCTCATTGAAACTTGGGCAATGTATGATGGAGAGATGCTTCTTAACGTACAACAAAAATAAAAATGACTGACGATAAATAAGGGAGTTCACTTCTCAGCCATTAGCCGCCTCTTTGCAGTATATTTTTGTATGGTTTTATGGTTGTATTCTCATTTTTTGGACTCATTTTATGTAATGGATGATATATTGCAGAAATAGACATGATTTTGATTGCTTTCATGACGAAAAGTACCTTGAAATTGAGCTCAAAGTAGCGGAAATGTTTGATTTTTGCCGATGTTCAATGAACTGTAAATCAAGTTGGTTACTTTTATTAAATGTATTCTAACTTAACCACTCTGTAATTCGGCAAACTCAGTAATCCGGCACACTACAGGTCCCATTGATGCCGGATTTGTGATGGAGGACCTGTATTACACATTGTAACCTTTACAAAGAAATAAACTTATTATTATTAAAATGTTCACCTGTCAATATGATTGTACTATTTCTGTACCTAATACACGTATTAGTGTCAGGACAAAGATTGGCTATGAAATCACAAGAACTATTATAAATTGTAATTATCAGAACATAAAAAATTTATAAATTAAAGTAAAAATGAGAAAAAAAGATATATTGGCAACACTTTTGCAAGAGGCAGGATTCGATGTTGCTGTCAGGTGAACATCCATCGCCAATGCTATAACTTCTCGGGCTTATATCTCAGTAAGTACTGACCCTATTTTTTTTTATCCTATAACATGTAGAAAAATGTGCTCTTCATTTAAATTTTTTTTTTTTTTTTTTTTTTTTTTTTCAAAATATTGGGAGTGCTACGTGAGTGAATGTAGATCTATGTTTGGATAGTAGTTTAAGGGTTAAAGACCATCGTGTATAACAAACCGGAAAGAAGAACAGATCTTGCAAGAACCCCTGCAAGATCTGTTTTTGCAAGAGTTGCGCTGAAGCAAAGGTTCGGTGCAAAGCTTGTATAAACCTTGCTGAATTTAAACAGCACTACAGGAGGAATACTAGTGAAATAGCTACAAGTTTGGTAGACTGGAACAATGGAATGGGCCAAAAATAGGGTGTTAATTGGGTGAAATCGCCGATGTGTAAATATCGCCATTAGGTTAAGTGTATTTTAACTTAGCAACTCTGTAATCCAGCACCCTGCAGGTCCTGATGGTGCCGGATTAGTGATGGCTCACCTTTAATTGGGAAAGCCTTGCCTTTGAACAAAAGCTGTCAAAATCGTTTGAAAAATAACACTAATTGAGGCTCTCTTCTGCATGTACAAGCCAATGATGTTGAAATATACAGATAACTTTTCATTTTTATAACACATTAGGTATACCAGCATATGCATTTAAAGTTTAATACATCAGATTTTTCATAATGCATAGACACAAACGAAGACTTACAATTTCATTTTTTAACTCAGAATATTAGCCAATAATGGGGAGCACTGCCAAAAGATTGTCACGAGTAAAGGCATTCTACACATATGCTCCGTTGGATTTGGTACTACTGCCAACTCACCGAGTTCTGATCTTCTGCGCTCCACAGTAAAAGCTATTGCACATTTCTCTCGGATTTCCCACCCAGCATGCGTGAGTCAGGTGAGTTGCTCAGCAAGAGAGAAGTCTTGAGGGAAATTGTTTTACTAAATTGTTATATGTTCACCACACAGTTTTGTAATAGTTTGTTGAACATGTGTAATTTATTTGTATTTCAGAAATAATGCTATAATGTAAAGGATATTTTTCGTAGAGTGATTCATGTTTTAGCTCATCTAGATTGCTTCTCTTAATAACTGCCATTCTAGAGAGAACATTATGTATTTTTTTTAACACACCAGTGATCTCTCACTAAGGTAGGTGACCGGAAAAGCAAGGAAATGCATTCACTAGCATTCATTTAATATCTGTTTTGCCAGCAGGCCCAGATGTCACAGTTCAAATGGTGCTCTGAATTGTGGCATCCTCACCCCTCCAGGACTTGAGTCTGGCTAACCAGTTTCTTGAACCTATTTATAAAAGTTCCTTTGCTCATACTTCAACCTCTTGTCTTCAGTTATTCTACTCTAATATGCTCCAAAGGAAAATGTACAGAAGACAGTCATTTAGCACGGTAGTCACGTTCCTGAAAATGCCGTGTTAGGTACAGTCGTGTTAGATGAACTAAAGAACATATGGAAAAAATAGGGTTATGTTCCTGGAGCCCCCAAAAAAAACAAACAACTTTTTTTTAGGCCTCCACATCTTAAAAAAATAAAAGTGAATATGTAGTTGTAGTTCATTGTTGTGATGTATTGTTGTTTTAACTGCTTAAGACTTCAAATGTAACAGATATACAGTGGAACCTCTACTTGCGAGCGTGTCCACGTGCGAGTTTCTCCAAATAGTATGAGCAGTCGATGGGTCGATTTTTTGCTTCCATACGCGAGCAGACCTCAAGGCAGGTTCCTTGACACTGGTGAGGGGTTCTGACTCTTGATCCCGGGAATTGTGAAGTCACTCAGAAAGTCAGTCAAGTCACTCAGAAGTCACTAAGTCAGTCAAGTCATTTGACTGAATGACTTGAGTGACTTACTGAGTGACTTGACTTACTGAGTGACTTCACTGAGTCACTCAGTAAGTCAGTCAATAAGTCAGTCAAGTCACTCAGTAAGTCAGTCAAGTCATTCAATAAGTCAGTCAAGTCACTCAGTAAGTCATTCAGTCAGTCAGTCAGTCAAGTCACTCAGTAACTCAGGTCATTCAGTAAGTCCATCAAGTCACTGGGTAAGTCAGACAAGTCATTCAGTAAGTCAGTCAAGTCACTCAGTAACTCAGGTCATTCAGTAAGTCAGTCAAGTCACTCAGTAACTCAGGTCATTCAGTAAGTCCATCAAGTCACTGGGTAAGTCAGTCAAGTCATTCAGTAAGTCATTCGAGTCACTCAGTAAGTCAGTCTAGTCATTCAGTAAGTCAAATTACTCAGTAAGTCAGTCAAGTCACTCAGTAAGTCAGTCAAGTCAATCAGTCAGTCAAGTCACTCAGTAAGTCAGTCAAGTCACTCAGAAAGTCAGTCAAGTCATTCAGTAAGTCAGTCAAATCATTCAGCAAGTCCCTCAGTAAGTCAGTCAAATCACTAAGTCAGTCAAGTTACTCAGTAAGTCAGTCAAGTCACTCAGAAAGTAAGTCAAGTCACTCAGAAAGTCAAGCCTCTCAGTAAGTCAGTCAAGTCATTTGGCTGAATGACTTGAGTGACTTAGTGAGTGACTTGACTGAGTGACTTGACTGACTTACTGAGTGACTTCACTGAGTCACTCAGTAAGTCAGTCAAGTCATTCAGTAAGTCAGTCAAGTCACTCAGTAAGTCAGTCAAGTCATTCAGTAAGTCAGTCAAGTCAGTAAATCATTCATTCAGTCAGTCAGTCAAGTTACTCAGTAACTCAGGTCATTCAGTAAGTCCATCAAGTCACTGGGTAAGTCAGTCAAGTCATTCAGTAAGTCATTCAAGTCACTCAGTAAGTCAGTCATGTCACTCAGTAAGCCAGTCAAATCATTCAGTAAGTCAAGTCACTCAGTAAGTCAGTCAAGTCATTCAGTCAAGTTACTCAGTAAGTCATTCAGTCAGTCAAGTCACTCAGTAAGTCAGTCAAATCATTTGACTGAATAACTTGACTGACTTACTGACTTCACTGAGTCACTCAGTAAGTCAGTCAAGTCACTCATTAAGTCAGTCAATAAGTCAGTCAAGTCACTCAGTAATTCAGGCATGTCATTAAGTCCATCAAGTCATTCAGTCAGTCAAGTCACTCAGTAATTCAGGCATGTCATTAAGTCCAAGTCATTCAGTCAGTCAGTCAAGTCACTCAGTAAGTCAGTCAAGTCATTTGGTAAGTCAGTCAAATCATTCAGTAAGTCATTCTGTCAGTCAGGTCACTCAGTAAGTCAGTCAGGTCATTCAGTAAGTCAAGTCACTCAGTAAGCCAGTCAAGTCATTCAGTCAGGTCACTCAGTAAGTCATTCAGTCAGTCAAGTCACTCAGTAACTCAGTCAAGTCTTTCAGTAAGTCCATCAAGTCACTCAGTAAGTCAGTCAAGTTATTCAGTAAGTCAGTCAAGTCATTCAATCAGTCAAGTCACTCAGTAATTCAGTAAGTCAGTTAAGTCACTCAGTAAGTCATTCAGTAAGTCAGTCAAGTCATTCAGTAAGTTAGTCAATTCATTCAGTAAGTTAGTCAAGTCATTCTGTAAGTTAGTCAAGTCATTCAGTCAGTCAAGTCACTCAGTAAGTCAGTCAGTTCAGTCACTCAGTAAATCAGTCAGTCATTTAGTAAGTCAGTCAGTCAGTCATACAAACTCATGTTTACCTCTTTTTTGTGTACAAAGTAACACTTCATTACGGCTACAGGTTATCTCTTGTCTAATACTACCTTTGTTTCATTGTTAATTCTAAGAATTAAGTGCTTATTCCTTTTCATGCCACTTTCAGCAACACTGGTATGGCTACTGGGTGTTATGATTGCTTGGCAGATACAATATATAATAATTAAAATATCATAACACAATTACAAACACAGCTGCCTTCTAGCAAAGAAAGACAGGACTGGACATGTATGAATTTCGATCGCTGGGATGGTGGGGTATTGTCGGTTAGTGGTAGGGGATGGTGGGAGGGCTCCTCGGCTGCTCCGAAACAAGGCGGCCGCTTGAGCAAAAGAGAATTCTTTTTCCTTCCCACAAACTGAGCTGTGTTAAATTAATTATCCGACTTGTTACATAAAATCGTGCCGCAATTCTTCAATTGTGCAATACTCAAATCGTGCCAAATAAACTTGTGCTAAATGACAGTCTACTGTATTATGTATTATTATTCATTGTTGCTCTTCAGATATTCGCCCTCATTCCATGTACAGTGCTAATGTATACTTCAACATGATAATTCCTGTACAAGAGTAAATTACTATATAAACTTTTTTCATTACTCCTTATACTGCATATTCATATTCTAATTCTCATTATCATCGGAAAAACTCCTTACTGATTTCAGTAACTTACTCCTATTCCATACATTTGGAACAGCTGCCACATTGGCCTCTCTATCCACCCTACCATATGCCTTTTCCAAATCCATGTATGCAACGAAAACCTCTTTACCCTTATCTAAATACTCTTCACCTATAGTATGTTTCACTGTAAACACTTGGTCTACATCCCCCTACCCTTCCTAAAGCTTCCTTGTTCATCTGCGATCCTTCTCTCCATCTTACTCTTAATTCTTTCAATAATTTATTTATTTATTTATTTAGTTATTTATTATTAATTTGGACATGATACATAAAAGTACAAAGAAATGCAGTGGTTAAGTGTAACATGCCAAAAGCCCCTTGTATGCAGAGCATTATGGGCAGGCTTAAAATTAACTTATGATTAACTAAGCAATGATATATTCAGTGGTAAAAATTATAGTAAACAAATAACAATTTAGCACAAATGAGTATTTCAAAGACAAGTCATATTGTCTGAGTTGCTGTGCATTCAGTAGAATGGAATATTCTGTTAGGTAATGTAACTAACCCTTTCAGGGTTGACAGGCCCTCTCATAGACTTGTTCTCAGGATCGCCAAAATTTAAAAAAAAAAAATATTTTTTCTCATGAAAAGATAAAAAATCTTTTCCCATCATAATGATACCAAAAGTATGAAATTTGATGGAAAACTTAGGGAATTATGCTCTCATGAAGTTTAGCGGTCCCGATGATGTTTATGCATCGGTGATTTTGCCGATTTTGAGCCCTATTTTCGGCCAATTCCAGTGTACTTGTCGACAAAAATCATAACTATTTCGCTAGAACTCCATTTTTTCTATCGAATGAGTACAAGAAACCACCCATTTACTGATTTCAACTATCCAATACAGTGGTCAGAATTTAGCATTTTTGCCAATTTCACACAAATTTCAAAAGATGCCAATTTCCGAATAGGGTCCAGAATAAACAAGAAAGACATTCCTGGCACTAAAATAACATTTCCTCTGTTCATTACTCATGTCCCCATGCCCCTCTTACATTCTTTTGCTTTCCACTATGAATTTTTATTCTCACAAAAAAATAGAAGATTTACTGTTATGCAGACTACTGCATTAGTGTAGAAATGGTATAAATAATACCAGCGCATTTGTGAAAGAATATTAGACTCACCAGTTGACGTGTATTGGACACAGCATGATTTGTTTACTTTTGAACTTTGGTAAAAAATCGAACATTTCTGCTACTTTGAGCTCAATTTCAAGGTACTTTTCATTGTAAAACCAGTCAAAATCATCTCAATTTCTGTAATATGTCTTCCATTCTATAAGATGAGACCAGGAAAACTAGAATTCAACAATAAATACCATACGAAAATACAGTGCAAAGTCACTGTTTTAATCCAAAAACACGGTCAAAGTTTTTTTTCTCATTACACACTGTGTACTGCAGGATTTTTTTTATACTGCGCACATTGACCACATAGACCCTTTCTATTATATGTAGGCCTACAAGCTTTCTCTCACTAGATTTGAGGGCGCTAGAATTTAGGCGTACTAGTACATCAAAAACCCTGGTGCGTAAGCCGTATGAGTACGGCCGAA